TCAGAAGTGTCCTTTCTTAGTTTCATTGCAAACATGTTAATCCTGAGAGCCCGACTGCTGAGAAGCAGAGATGAGGTCATGTTGTGTTTGCTTTGATCAAGGAACAGAATATTGCTTTTTGGCATTGAGTCAAGAAGCCTTAAATTTAAACATCCGTTTGTTTGCTTTTCTCAGTGAAATAACACAGGAACAATGTGAAGGTGACTGAACTAAATATATGTATCTTGACGCTGTTGACTCTGGGGATCTTGGGTACTGCTACAGAAAAGGGAAAGGCGGGCAGTAATGCCGTGGTGGTGCAGGAATTTCCGATTATTTGATTGTTATCCCTGTTTTTGCAGAGTAAGATAAGCATAAATAGCACAACTGCACCAAGAAAATGGAGAGTCAGGACAATGTGGACAGAAGAGGAGACACTCGTCCCACCCAGTCTTCCTTCTGCCTCTCAGGTCTTCCTGTCCCAGACAGAATAAAAAGTGGGACAAACAATAACCTGCTATATAATGAGAGTCCATTTTTCCGGACACAAGTAGGAATAGTCACAGTCCAGTTTACCTTCTAGTATTGAATTAGCTATGTGGAATTTTATTTAGAATATGTTAAGAGCAATAGTAGATGAAATACTAAAAACTCCTTTTAAAGTGAGTTGTGTCTAGGGAAATACCATGTTTGTTACTGCCTTGGGAAAGTGCCTCTGTCCATGTTGAACCAAATATAATTTCATGGATTATCTCATTTCATTTTTGTAACCCTCTGGTGTGGTATTATCATTATTATCCTTATCACATTTCATAAATAAGGAAGCCTAGCCTTGCCTGCTCTTTTGGCAAAAACTGCATAGCTGGTGAATTTAAGAGGCTTTAAATTCGACTAAAAGTAGTGTCAACTAATATGCTATGGCAATTGGGGACACCAACCCCTGCAGGGATTTCTGGCTTGCTGATATCTATGTGGTAGAGTCTTCCATGCTATGCGAGATGCAGGCCTCTTTAGTCACTTAGCTGTCTGAGATCTCAATGCTCCCTAGGCCATTTTCTCTGTTGGCGAACATTCAGGTAATTCTTGTTTTGCGCTGTTACGAATAGTGTTCCAATGCCCCTCCTTGTACATCTTTGTACACACTTGTAGGTCTTTCTATGAGTATTTTGATATAACATTAGCTCAGTATTGGTTTATGTTTTCAAATCATTTGTATGTATGTGTAAGGGAGGGGAGAGTGCGGGAGAGAGAGACAGAGACAGACAGAATATATATTAGAGATCAAATCCAGTTTTGCGGATCCAGTCCGTCTGGACACTCACCTTCCTGGACCTGGAGGGAGGCGGGAGGAATTTGAACTTCCCACTGGGCAGGAAACCCTGACTGCTCTTAGGGATGGAGAGGGAGGAGGAGAGGGAGTGGGGGGAGTGGGAGGGTGATGGAAGGAGGGGCGGAAATGGAAACTTTTATAATTTAATAAAATTACAAAAAAAATAAAAATAAAAAAATCCAGGACCTCATACATTTTGGTGAACCTTCTGTCACTGAGCTGTGTTCAGTTTGTCTATTTGGATTTATTTTTAATGGGGACTTACACTGTAGTATAATCTTGAATAGAACTCTCTTTGTAGCCCAGATTTGCCTCAAAACTCTTGGTCAGTCGCCCTACTTCATCTTCCCAAGTGCTGGATTGCAGGAGTGAGCTATCACACTCAACTTGAGTTATTTATTCCTCCTCCCATATAGTTACCAAATGGACACTGTTGTATTTTCCCTTAATTCTATAGACGGACACAATACCTCCTGGCTATAAGTTATATTTGTGTAATTTTTGATGAAGGTTGTTGTCACTAAATTTTCAATTATTTGCAATTCTTTGAGTTGAAAAATCCCTTTCTGAATTTTATCAGAATATTTTACTTTAATTCCTTATTTTTTTTGTAGCTTCATTATGTCATTTCATTGTCAGAGAGGTTAATTTCTCCTGTTGTTTTTAATACAGTTCCACTCTGTAACCTTCACTTGGCGTTGTACAGAGATGTTCCTGTCTCGGCCTCTGAGTGCTGTGACTACAGACTGTGCCACCATTCCAAGCTCTTTAGCATTGCACCAAGCATCTTGTAATTGCCAGGCAAGGCTTCGGCCACTATGCCCCCAGCTTTTCAGCAATGACTTTTAACCAACCTGTTAGTTTTCGTTAAGACTTCTGATAACTGTAAATGTCCCTGCAGCCCAATAGTTAGACATAAATTTGCTTTCAGCATTATTACAGTATATGCACTTATTCTTCTGTATCTGCATGTTTCATATCAACTCAGTGACTGCACACTGAAAATATTTAGAAGTAATGCATCTGAACTGTGGATTCTTCCTTGTCATTATTACCTAAGTGATGTATCATATCAACTCTGTATACAACTTTTACATTTTGGGGGGGTTATAACAGTCTAAAGATGGCTTAAAGAATATGCAAAGATACGTGTAGATTATGTACAGTTTCTAAACAATTTTAAATGATGCCCTTGTTTGTACATCTACAGATTTTATACCCAGGGATGTAGGAGGTGCTTGAACCAGATACCCAGTAATGCCTGATAGATAGCTATTTATCTTTTCCTAGTCAATCTGAATTCCATTTTTGTTAATGATATGAACTTCTAATATTTAGGTGGAGATCCAAATCCATCCATATTATTAAGTACACCACTGTAACTAACTTCAATAGAAAAGAAGTGGATCAGAATATAAAATTGTTAATATATGTAGAATCAAAGTACATTTAACTAATGCTTTAACTAATGAAGTTTTGATGTAAGTTTCTTTGATCATGGTTATATTTTTCAGCTTATCAATTCCACCACTCCCCCAAACAGGTGTGATTTTGACATTATTGATTTAGTTTACAAATGACTGCAAACTGACATTTACAGTAAATTGGGAGTCACCGTAGTCTTTATAATAGTGAAGATTTTAGTTTAGAAAAATAATGTGGGATTATATATAAGGCTTTCTATATTTTATAGAGAAGGAAATCCTTCAGCATTGCAAGTGGCTATCATGGGGCCTTTATCTAGGTTTTCAATTTTGTTATGTTTTCAAAAGTTATTAATGTTTTGTATTACAAACTTTAAATATTAACATCACATTACTGAACTTGTTAGCTTTAGTTATTGTTTGTTGACATCCATTTCTTTTCAAGGTCAATAATAGCTATTCTGTAATACTCAATTCTGACTTTTCTTTTTCAACTATGCATATCTTTTTTCTCATGTGCCCATATATTTTCTCAGATCACGAGGGCACTGATGATGAAAAGTAGCTCCCCAAGCACTGTAGCTGAGTTGGTGAGCTAAAATTTGGTTGACTTCGTAACTGTTAGATGACCAGAAGCTGGAAGTGAAAGATAAAATGGCCTAAGAAAATGTCATGAGTTTTATAATTTGATAAGGGCATAGAAAGCATATTTTCTGTAAAGATAAATAAAACACCAAACTCCATGGTACAGAGATGTGCATTCTAATCTAGTGATATATTTACCATGGTGGGAAAAACTAGTAGAGAGGAAGTGAGACTCCAGCAAGCATGAGATCAAAACATTCAGAGCAGTGGGAGGACTGGTCAGAGGAAGGTACTCAGGTCCAGAGATTCCATGACCTGCTAGCGAGAAGTCTGCCCCTGTGTGGACACTCTATCTGTCTGTACTCTTGGTTTACTCCATAGAAGAAAATTGTAGTTATTCCAATAATGCATTTAAAGTTTTCCCTGGAGTGGGGAAGCCGTAGACACATTGCCTTCGTTATTTACCTTCATCCATTCTTCTTTATGTTTTTATTAATATATATTTTTAAAACCTTTTTACTTCCTGGTTTTAAGATTTTTGAGGGGAGACTTGCAGAGCCTTTTTAGATATAATTTAGATGTTTAATAAATTTTGAATTGAATTGATAATGTCAGCTTTTACTCCAGATATTGATTGGCTTAGTGATAGATATAGTCCTTTCTTTCAAATGCTCTTGAGTGTGCTGAGTGACTGGATAAGTACTTTTGTTCCTTTGCAAAGAGGCACATTTATTATGGTTGTGTCTGGGGGTCGCACATAGCTTTTTGAATGCCTTCAGTTTGAAAAACACTGTCAATATCTTATTTGTTTTACAGCCTTTGAGCAATATGTTAATAGCTATTTCTTAGAAAAAGCCAATGAAAATTTAATTTAAATCTATATAGAAGTAAAATGACAGATGACAGATGAGAGCAGTTTAGAATGGAAATCAATTTCGGAAATTCTGTGATTAAGATTTAATTATAGCATCGATACACTATACCCATGGGGCAGTATAGTCTATACTGTAGGACAGGTTCAGTTTTGGGATTTGGCAAGATAGCTTCAATGTGTTTTACTCTAGTTTGACCAGGAAGCAGAGCACTACACTAGTTACTATATTCTGAATAAAAAGTTTGATGAATATTACCAATCACATGAAGCAGTCTGTGGCTACTGATTTCTCTTAAAGTGTAGAGACTGACAAAGTGACTCATACATTTTTAATTTATAAGTTACTTTTATTTGGATTCAGTTATCCCTTTCTAAACGTTTTGATTAGTTTTAAATATCAAATGATTGTTAGGAGAAATACACTGGGTGATGGGGAATAACTTCCTAGGTAAGAGAACTAGCTTGCTAAGCAGGCATGACCACCTGACTTCAAACCCCCAGAAATCACATACAAGTCCAGGTGTGGACTGCAGGCTGCTAGCCCAGCTCGTGTCAGAAGGGAATCAGGAGAGTGATGTTGCAGAATATCCAGTGTTATCCTCTGGATTCTCTGTGGGCATCACAGATAGACACACCCAAAATATACAGCACACTCCTAACACACACACACACTCTTATGTGAATACACACACAAAATTAAAAGAAATAAAGAAGAAATGCTCACAGTAGGTTTTCATCAGGATGTGTAATTTAGGATATTGAGCGGCATCTTTTCGGTATTATCATTACTCTTGACCTTTTGCTGCAGGTGTTCAGCACATACTCCAATGAAGACTATGACAGGAGAAATGATGACGTCGACCCTGTGGCCGCCTCCGCTGAGTACGAGCTTGAGAAACGAGTGGAAAAGCTGGACCTTTTCCCTGTGGAACTGGAGAAAGGTATGTAATAAGGAGGGTGCGAGTTTGTTCCAAAATAATCACACAGAAATTGTATTAATTAAATCACTACTTGGACCCATTATCTCTGCTTCTTATTGGCTAACTCTTACATATTAATTTAACCCATTTCTATTAATCAGTGTATTGCCACGTAGCTGTGACTTACCGGCAAAATTCCAACTGGTATCTGTCTCTGGCAGCTCCATGGCTTCTCTCTGACCCTGCCCTTCTTTCTCCCAGTATTCACTTTAGTTTTCCCTGCCTAACTAAGTTTTACCCTGCTATAGGTCCAAAGCTGTTTCTTTATTCATTAATGTTAATCACAGCATACAGAGGGAAATCACACATCACCTGCCATTTTCTATTTAAATAAAAAGGGAGGTTTTAATTTTAACATATAACAAAACAGTTATCAAATAAGAATTCCATTTACAATATTTATATCTACTTTATCTTTTATCATAACTAAGGATAACTATAACTATCAATTCTTCAACTCCATCAAAGACTCCAGAAGGATGTATATATATACATATATATATATGTGCGTGTGTGTGTAATATTACCTAAGTAAACAGAAAGTGCATTGTAAGCAACTTCTAAAGTTCTAGAATTGACAGAGTCATCTTGCTGCCTGGACAGTCACTCAAAGTTCTTTTGTACCCTTGGGGCATCCATCTTCAGCCTACAGGCCCATAGTATCTAGCATACTTTTCCATGAAGCAAAAGTTTAAAGGCAGTTCTGCGTATATTGGCAGTTTATCAGTCACATTTTTCTGTGTCCTGCAGAATGTCTAACAGACTCTTTCATGAAGTTGGAACCCTGAAAGATCATCTCACCTTTAGGCAAGTTCAGCAGTCATTTCTCTGTGGGTCCTGCATGTCCAGTTCATCAAAAAGTCCAGGCAAGAGAAATTTCTTGCCCAAATGTCTAACAAACTCCTTAAGGAGCCTCTTCAACGACCATCTTCCTCTTCAAGTAATTAGTGCTTCCAGGAGCAGATATGTCTCACTGTCATGAAAAATCCTATGTTCTTAAAACATTTTAAATGTCATATTCTGAAGGTCTCTGAAAGATTTGAGACCTTTATATACCTTCAAACATATAGGTATTTGAAGAATACCTATTTAACTGAAATATATCTCTATATATCCAGAAAACCTAACTAACATGACTGCAAGTTTGACTATTATAGATGATTATCTGTTAACCTATATTTCTTAGTTGTACATTACATTTTCAAATGAGCTGGACAAACACAATACCTTAATTAAGAGCAGAAATATACATATAACAAAATTGACCTTAAATTTGTATCAATAAGCCAAGATTCATACCAATGCAAATCTGTATATAGTATATCCCCTTTAAATGTAAATAAACATTTATAGACAATATTTGGGAATATGGATGTAGTTCTCCTCCAAACTTCTTTCTCTTGTTTATTGGATAAAGTATTTGGGGGTGTATTCACAACAACCTTTCAGGGGGTATTGGTGCATCAAACCATATTAGTCTGGAAGCAATCCACAGGTTCTCATCCTCTGTAGAAACAAAAGAAGAACTTCTTTTCCAAAGCAACATATCCTTACACCCAAATTCTGAAGTCAAAATACTTTTGTAACATACATGCTGGTTCACCTTAGCAGCCCATATAATGAAATGTCTCTCTATACTTAGCTCTTTCACAATCAAAAATTCAAAGAAAACACAATAATATATGTAATCCAGACTATCTGTGAATTTTCCATCTTTATGTGGCTTATTCTTTCTTTACTCCTTTTTAATCTATGACTGTCTGTACTCTGTCTCTTTAAAGATTTTACTTTTTTTTAAAAAAAAAAACATTTACTTCTTTTTATAGCTGTCTATTTTCTTTTTCTTGTCTCTCCCAAGCCTACATATATTTATCCAACACTGTGACCCATTAGAGGTCTTTTCCATCTGAATTTGTCTTTATTGCGTATCTGTAATTCTTTACTGTCCAGTAGTACTTCTTAAAATGCTAAGCACTTCTTAGAAACTTAAGCTGCAGCATCACTAGCATATACGGTACTGCCTGCTTGCTGCTCACAGTCCAACATGGTGGAAGTCTGTAATGCCTGACTCTGATAACCAGTTGTCCCATGCTGCCACCATTTCACTTAAACAAGTTGGAACCATCTTGAGAAGCTGGTACCCAACAGAGGTCTTATAGTAGTGCTAGCAGCATCATGATATCATCTCAACCAGGTGGAGTTGTTGAAACATACAGAGGGAAATCCCAAATCAAAGGTAGAGCAGGATTCTGGTGTTTTCATCTTCCTGTCTCTGAGAGTGACATGGAGTGGCTTTTCCAGAAGGGAGCTTGTTAATAAGAATTGAATAAAGTTTGTATCTCTCCTCAAAGTTTGCCAAGTTTCAGAAAGGGTTGATGCAGATTCTAAGTAGAAAATTTGCTAAAGGATTCCATTATCTCACCAGCTTTCAAACAACCCCACTCCTTTGTCTGCCAGGGATGGTTATTCAGATGGGAGGTATGCCAGCTAGTTTTATGTCCACTTGACACAAACTAAGTCACTGGTTGAGAAAATGCCTCAATAAGATGAGCTATAAGCAGACTTCTAGAACATTAATTAATAAGAAAGTGGGAGGGCCCATTCCATTGTGGGTAATGCGATCTCTGGACTGATGGTCTTGGGTTCTATAAGAAAGGTGGCTGAGCAAGCCATAGGTAGCAAGTCAGTCAGTAAGCAGCTATCCTCCATGGCCTCTGCATCACCTCCTGCCTCCAGGGTCATGCCCTGTTTGAGTTCCTGCCCTGACACCTTTGGTGATGAACTGTGATGTAGAAGTATAAGGCAAATAATCCCTTTTCTCTCAATGTGGTTTTGATTGTGATGTTTTGTTGTAGTAATAATAACCCAAACTAAGACAAATTGGTACCAGGATCATAGGATATTGCTATGATAGACCTGACCGTTTATTTTTGGATCATGGAAGGTCTTTCGAATTTTAGATTAGAAAAGCAAGAGTAATCCAGACTAAGATCATGATGATGATGATGATGATGATGATGATGATGATGATGATGATGATAGTGATGAATGTGTGTCCCACTGTTTTGTGGTGGTGGAATGGGCTCTCTGGAAGCTTAGGAAGATTTGGAGTGAAGATGGTTAGAACCTTCAAATAGGAAAACTCCAATCAAAGACTGAAAATGAAAAAGAAGAGTGAGTAGATGATGGCCCCGAGTTTCTCCCTTGGAATGACAATCTGCATACCACAGAAGGCATTGATACATGGAGCTGAGGTGGCCACTGAGGACCTGCACTGTGCCCTGTGAGCAAAGCATGGACAGATCTGAGAAGCCTTCAGAAAGTGCAGAGTATCCAAATGACTGGAGGATCCAAAAACAAAGAAAGACTCAAGGATAGTAAATAGTTGCTTCAAAAAGACATTCTTAAGCACATTATCAACAACAAATTCATTGATTTTTCAATTGAAAACTTTCAATTGAAAACTTTGACTTCAGAAGTTGAGGTGACAAGCTCAATGTTGAGATTCACATTGGAGACCTAGAAGATCCAATATAAGAAATGTCCGCAAACCTATTTCTAATAATAGCAAACACCTGAGAGAGCCAGGAATGCTGCATAGCTGTGACAAGAGAAGAGAAAACTGGAACAATGGCGAAAATATACAGTTCATAACAGAAGAGCATTCCCTGAAGAAAAGAAAATGCCATGTGCATCCCCAGTAAAGTGGAGGAAACTAATGGATAAAGTTAAAGTAACAATCTTACAGAATACCAGTTTTAAAAAATAATAAGAAAAAAAGTAAAGGTCAGGTCCTTCCTGCCCTGAAAGCTGTCATGCATTGTACTGTCATTGTCCACAGAGAGTGGTGTGCTTCTCTTGGGGAAAGAAAAGATTTCGTCAATATGTAAAACTATAAAGAATACAAGTTATCTAAGAAATTTTCTTACTGCTAATCAAGGAAGCAAAGACACAGCCAACTTGTTCAAGACAGTAAAGATGAAGAAAGGAGGGTAATTTTATATAAATATTAAACATAAAACTGAAGATACAGTGTTGACTACCCAGCATTTCACTGGACCTGATTCCAGTTGAAGGACACTTTCATTTGGAGTTACAATGAAGTGGAGAGTGATTCCTTCATTTTTTTTTCTATGTTTAAAAGAATCTTTGTGTCTCATATTACTGGTAAGAACCAAAAATGACAACAACGTAAGCATTCACCTGAGGCATGACAATGTCTCTGAAGTGCTTTCCTGCAGCAGCCTGTGTAATTGTTAGGTAGACAGGAAGTCAGAGAAGTCTTTCAGCTGTGATTCCATTGACTTGAATTCAGCCGAGAGAAAACTGAGCATCATATTACATAAGGATATGGGATACACAGGTGATTAAGGTGCTTTTTTTTTTAAATTGGTTAGTGTTTTCGGGGTAATTATGGATAAAATAATTAGTTTCACTGTCGCCAAGAGTAAGGAGCCTTGGAAGGGGTATTATAGGTAGCTTTATGGTGTGGCTGTATTCTGTGTATTTGTTAGTGCCAAGTCTTTTGTTTCTTTTTTGTTGTTGTAGCCCAGGTTGCCCGTGAATTCTATGAAAGCTCTGGCTGGTCTCCAACTTGTGATCCTCCTGCTTCAGCATACCCAATGCTAGTCTCATAAACCTGAGTCTTCTGGTTTGTACTTGGGGTTTGAGTAGTGGTTTCACTGTTGTATCCCAGTCTGGCCTGGAATTCCTTGTTCTCTTCTCAGTCCCCAAGTGCTTGGATTACATGTTGTTTATCACTAGACATAATTACTTTCTTCTTTAACATGCCTCAGAGATAAAGAGTAGAATAAACCATTTTTGTATGTATTTCACTCTAAAATTTAAAGTAGAAAATTAAACTATAGAAAATAACTAAAGGAAATAAAATTATTCAAAACTTCACTGCATTTCTTTCCCAGGTAGCTCTAACAGGCAGAAAACAAATGAGAAACAGACTA